TAATTGAAACTTTAAACTATTTTTTTAATGGACCTATGTGTAAAAAGTTTACGCTTTGAAAATAAATAAAATAAAGGTCAGATTCTCCATCCAGTTGCATTGTTTTTTCAATACTGTAGATAAGCAAAGGTACCAACAACTTTCATATCATGGTATACCTTCAAACTGGTATATCGCTGCAACTTTAGACTTGATGATGATTAATGTCTTTCCAAGGTAAACACTCTGTGATAAGAGTGTGGCACCCAGTGACACACACTATCTGGAGACACTGGGTGCTGTTTCTTAGTTCTTCACCTGTGTCTCACACACTAACACACATACAGCTGTTGGAGACATACCTGGTGCTGCTGTGTGACAGCCTGCAGGTTGTACATGAACAGCTCTTGGTACTGTGGCAGCAGGGTGAGCATCACAGTCAGCCCATTGAGAACCAGCAGGAGGCCTTTAGACAGAGGAGCCTTGTCTGTGGACAACACACACACATTTACAACTAAACAGTGACACTGTCGTCTTCTCAAGGAGGCAGCTTTGCATATGTGACGGTATAATTGAAGACAGAGAAACGGCTAATTTGTATATGGAGGCAGGGCAGACAGTAACGTTACCATGAATTAGCATGATGTTTAGCTAGTCAGAAGATACTCTTTCTACTAATTTCTATTATTTTTATTAACAATGACATCTTAGCTGAACATATCGACTAAATGGTGAAGCAACACATATGCTGTTAATTAATTAAACGCAGCTGTAACTGACAGAAACTGCCTCGGGTAAATGAATGACAGCACAATGCTAACGTCCGTTGGCTAAGCTAGCCGATACCGCTGTAACTGACAGGGGGAAGCGGTGAGAGGAATGCAACAACCCGGCAGTCGCTTAACGGCGGATCCGGGGTACTTACACAGGCCCCGGGAGCCGGTGGTGGTAAACATGGTGTCCAGGTGGTTCACGGAATCCAGACGATGGCCGTTAATCCAAAGGCAACGGGAAACTAACACTCAAACACCGAAATAAAGTTGGAGAAAGGGTCCATGCTGTGACTGTGAACAGAAAGAGAGAAGGGGAAGGGGATCTGCTACAGGAGCCCGAGAAGACCAAAAGGTGTTAATTCGCGGTCCGCTGACGTTATAATGAACTGGACTGTAGAGGGCGCTGTTGTTCCACGTTAAAGACGAGATGACGCTCACTAGACAATTTTACTGATAACCTTATTATAAACACCGCATTTCTATGAAGGTCTTAAATACTTTAATGCTGAAGGAACAGCAGATATTTAGGAATACGGATAAGTTATTTCTGTAATCAGTTTCTAAAGGAATGCAACTTAATAATAAAACCATTTCCATTTAATTTATCACATTTATTTTACTAATAAAAGTCATCATACGGTAATTTAAGATGATGAATACAATTTTAAAAAAAAGAAAATTAATTTAAGTCTGCAGTGCTATTACTACTAATACTTCCACCAATAATATTATGACAACAACAACAACAACAATAATAATAATAATAATAATGATAATAATAATTATTATATAATGATAAGCAAAGTAGCAACAAATCAAAACAGTAAACAAATAAAAACAAAATATAAATTTTAAAAAATCAAGTCACAATAAAAAATAGATATTCATGCAGACTGCCACCCTTACCCATAAAATAAATAAAATAAAACAGAATAAAATAAAATAAATTTAAATCAAATTAAATTAAATGCAAAAAAATAAAATAAAATAAAATAGAAATATGTTTTTTTTCCCCTCTGTCTCTTATTGTTTTAAATGCAGCACTTGATGCAGTTCAGCATATTTGCTGAAGTTGATAGGTACATGATTCTTGCAATTTTTGGGTTGTAACCATGTGATTTGATGCACTTGTTGTAAGTCACTTTAGATTAAAGGATCACTTAAATAGTTTATGTGTAATATAATGTAATACTACCACTAAACTAATAATGTATTTCAAAGCAAAGCGGGGAACAAAACAAGCAAACTATATAAAAAATGAAAACGTGAAGTCAATGGAAAATGATAAGTCATATCAGAAACAGATTAAAAGAAGCTAAAGAAAAAATATGTATTAAAATGGAGGACAGCAAATTATCTCAAGCGAACCTGTAAAACAGTATTTGGCAGATCTAGTTCCCACCCACCAGTGTGAGCAGGGTCATCTCCATCTGCAGCCATTGTGATCACCAAGAGGTCTGTACCCCCAGGTTGAGAACCACTGATCTAACTCCCGCAGCACCCCTACAGCTGGGATTTAGTGTCTTGCTCACAGGCATTTCAGCAGGGAAGCTGCAGCCAGATGATCCTCCTGATGAAGGGCAGTCTCCTTACCCACGATGCCACCCTGCTGTTATCTGATGCACCTCAGACAGGGTATTCTCAGGCCCTGAAGTGCTGGCCTAATAATGTTTAATCTTTGCCATTTATGACCATTTGCTCAGTGTGTAATATGTGTTCATGGGTTAGATATGCACGGACGCAGCAGACAGGGAGTGTTTCATGTCTTGAAGCCATGTGGTCAGCTTTCTGACAGAGAGGTAACAGTGTTAATTATCCTCGGGGCCTTGAGCAGGATGTGACTGCACAAAGTCCAGATTAATGGCTTTTTCTTATGGTCCTCTTGGCCTTATGCGCACAGAGTCATATCTTGTCAAGGCCCAGACTTCCTTTGCAGAGGCCCGGCTTTGTCTTGCACTGCAGGCTGCCAGTTTTCCTCACGTCAAACTGTGTGTATACCTTCATGCCTGGCTGTGATTGCTTCTGAGCCAATTGATCCAATGCTTATGTTACGTCCAAGTACATTTGAAAAGATATGGCGAACAGCTGTCTAATAGTGTTGCATTTCCCCATCATCCACAGATGCAGCATGCGTGTTAGTTCCCATTGGTTAGTTCCCATCCATTAGGTCTATTTGGCTGCTTGTGGTCAGATGTGACTGCAAAGCAGAGCTCAGGAACAGCTTGCTAATTGTGTTTCAGACCTTCTCTGTCACTGATGTAGGAGTGAGGTCTAAAAAGGTTGCTTTGCCCCTGTTCTCAATCAAAGATAATCAGATTAAATAGCGCAGAGATGTGCGTATGTGTGTGTGTGTGTGTGTTTGTGTGTGCTTACCAATAAAGAGACTCCAGATTTGGAGACAGCCTTGACTCCTGCTGTTTGCTTTGTTCATTAAGAGGAGATGAGCAGATGGTTTGCTGGTCTGTTGTGCAGTACACACACACGGGCACCACACACACACACGCACATGCAAATGCACATGCATGCTCAGTCCTGTCACCTTAGCTTTATCCTCCATTTATCTTTTCCATTACACATCTCTCGGCAGGACAATGCGACTCGGTGAATTGTGAGGGATGTGTGCGTGTGTGTGTCTGTGTGTGTGAGAGATACAAGGCAGCGTGAAAGAGTAGAGCGGTGCTGAATGAAGTCACAAACCTTTTTAGTCAAGACAGCCTCTGAGGTGGTCATCTGAAAAGCTGATGACTCATTCACACATTCATTTATGTGACTCATTGCTATTCACTTGTCAGCCACTCTGTATTCAGGAAGAATTGCTTATAACAGAGGTATTGTTTTAGTCCTGCATCACAGCTTATCTGCCTGTGTCCAGGAAATGGCACACTGCACATTTACACAAGGTTGCATGAGCAAAATCTGGCCTACTTCAAGGATTTTTTTGGGCACAACAAATGGGTTCAGAACAATGTGGGATGTTATTACTTTGGGAAACTTACTATCACTTGCCAATTAGGATCCCGAGCATCTACCGAGGAGGAAATTATCTGCTTCAAATATTTCTAAACAATCAGAGTTCAACAGCATTTGTGATCCTCGACCCCTTGCATAATTTATTACATATTAATTCATTTGCCCTCTGCTTCAGTCGAGGAACACTTGGTGTAGTTTGCACATCTCTAGCCACACACTTTTTGCTTTCACTGCCATAAAACACTTGATTTCAGATGATGATGCTTTCACATTTGCAGAAATACTTATTGAAAATTACAAGTTGAGCTACAATTGATTTATATTACCAGACATATTCAGGGTTGCAATCCAAAACGAGTCTGAAAATATTATTCATTAGTTTAATTAGATATAGTTCCATCTTCTGCAGTGCTAATATTTGGCCGGCGAAGACTATAAAAAAAAAGCACAGCAAAAATGTCTGTTCTTTATTAACATAATTCTTTTTCCTGTGATATTGAGGATGAAGTTTTTGCTTTACAGTCCTGTCTACAAAGACATAAAGTAACATATCATTCATTTATATGGATTTTTTTTGGCTGGATGACTCAAAAAAACCTGAGTTGTGTGTCAGGAATTGAACCTTTTCCGTAGCAGATTTTATCAGGAGAAAAGGCAAAATATATTTGTTTCGGACCGAGCTGTAAAATGACCCGTAATTTTGTAATTAAATGAAATGTTTGACCATTGCAGCTGTACTTTTAATGTCTTGCAAATCCATGAGGGGTGGGCACTTCCTGTGCATGACACAGAAATAAATAAATAAAAAAAGGAAATCAATTAATCAAAATTATCTTCCTACACATTTACTAAATTGCTCTCGACCCACGTTTAGCTTTTAAAGTCTCTCACCCTCCTCTTCATCCTGAGACAGAAACGTGATGAAAAAAAGAGTGCAGCCACAGAGAGTGCATCGTCATCATGTTTCACCAAAGGACAGCTTACATGTGACCCTGCTCACCACCTTCCTGTCGTTCTGTCAATACTTACGTGTATGTTTTTTGGAGATGGTGCAAGAATCAATGTCACATCACTCCCCCCTCCCTCGCATGTGTAAAGACATGCAAGCAGAGGGACCCTCCCTTCCTCCACACACACAGAGCAAGTCTCAAGGGTTTCCTGTACCATTAGACTATAACAGAAATCCACATTTCAGATAGGTGCAATATATATATATATATGAAATCTTTTCACATAGAAAGGTGCACATTTAAAATAAAGGACGAAGCACTGACACCATTTAATAAAAAGGATTTGTATTGTTTGTATTGTCAAACTGCACTACTGCATAACATACACAATACAGGTCATGTACTGACTGTACAACATGCCATTATGTTTTTGTGATAATAATAATAACAAAAAAATGATGACTATATATATGTACACAACTCTGTTACAAGTTATATTCATCACTTGTGTCCAGATAAACAGCACTGACAAAAAAACAACTATGGTCATCTTCATCTAGGATCTAAAAAACCTTGATTGAAAGAAACACAGTCAAACACATCATCGGAATAAAGTACTGTTCCCACTACGGCCGAGATTCTGTGATAAATGCAATAAATTAAACGAGAGAGCGATGGGAAAGTTCAAATGTCACCCTTGAGGTGGAGGGGGAGTCCTCTCGAGGAGGCGGAGATGTGTATCTCAGATGCAACCGCGCGACCGAGCATGCCTGTCAATTGTATCTCTCGTAAATGAGGAATCGTCGTCACTCTGTTCTTCCATTCGTCCGTCCATTCATCCTTCCGTCTGGTCTTCAGTACATCCCAGTGGTCTGCAGGAACACTCGGCCCTCTGAAACACAGAGAGAAATCCAGTCTAATGAAACACAACCATAATTTATAAGTTGTAATGAATTTAGATCCTTTAGGTAACAGTAGGAGGACAAATGCTGCGCGTTATAAATTCATTCATATAAATATTGAACAAGGTCCCATAAAACCCTGACCAAAGACCATTAATAAAAGATCATTATTAAGTAAGGCTCAGTTGAAAGTGTTTTTCGGCCCCTGATCCCTGTTTTTGGCGATAAAACTTCCTGGCACAAAGGAACCACATCCTGCCCTGCTGCCTGACAGACAATTCCCCTTTAAATGATTTATTACTGGGTGTTAATTATGCAAATGATGTCCAAACAAACTCGTCACGAGGACAATTAAGACAGCCGTTAATTAGTGGCCAGTTCTCTTCTTGCTTCACTGACATTCAATTAAAAATTGGCTTTGAACAAGCACGCTGTCTGGTACGGCGGTCCTGGCACGGCGCGGAGCAGAGGTGGGCTGGAACCATGCACTCTTTTGATGAGGCCGGGCTAGAGATCACGGCCATTTCTTTTTCTGTCTATTTAAGACGTTACATGTGGGATTTTCTCATTAATCTATCCCTGTGAAGACAATAATGTTGGCAAAATAAATATATTAAACGCCCATCTCCATTAAAATGGTAGCCCCAGTGAACTGCCTCATGCTTCATTTAATTTTGTTCAACTTCTCAGGAGCGGTCTCGCTGTGAAATCTTTGAAAACCCTTCCAGTCGACCGGTCAGTTAAGCATCAAAAGCAGTGAGTGATAATGAAATCTGTTGTCCCTGCTCAGTTGATAGGAGCTAAATAAACCCCCAGCAGCAGGTATATCACTGTTTATTCCACAGCTCTTACATTGAAATGGCGTTTTGTAGTCAGTCGATTTACCACTGTTAATAAGTAAATGATTCCCACACACTTGGTGCAGCGTCCTTACAAATGTTGTCACACGAATCTTTGCTTTTTTAAAAAACTATACTCACATTTAAAAGATCATGCAGCTCCTTTCATAGAGAAAGGAATAAAAATATAATTTGAAATTGTTGTTTGTCTTCATTTCCTTTCATGACTTCACTCTGCTTCACTCTTTTCTGTCTAATAATTGCACAACTACACCCTTTTTTTTACTCGTCCGAATATGAAGCTTGTTTTTGCTCCACACCGATGAAGCAGTGTTTGTTAACCGGACACCTGTACCTTGTACTGTCGCCTTGGTGTCCAGCCTGTTGTCATCGTGACTGCTCCCATCCACGTCCTGGGTCACGGATTCTGTGTGAGGAGGGGCCGCCGATGATTGATGGCCTGTAGTTTTGGTCATTAATTAATAAAGACACTTAATTAGAGGCAAATGAACAGTCGGGGCCGTGTTGCACCGAAGGCTTGGTGACATTTAATATGAAAATTACAAAACTTAGAGCTCAGACAAAAAAACATGACAAATTTATGAGAGTGTCAGAAGAGTTGCTGCGCCTGTACCTGTGTGTGTGTTGGTGGTGTGCAGCAGGGTGTGCTCGGCCTGATCGCGCAGTTTGACCTCCTCCTCCAAGGCCTCCTGTAGTCTCCTCTTACTCCTCTTTTCCTTCTTCAGGCGCTTCTGGATCAGAACTGGAGAGAGAAGAAGGACAAAAGATCACAGAGTAAGTTCCGATACCATTCCTTCTTTCCCGATACCGATTCCGATACGTAAACTTGTGCATCATCTGATACAAAGTTCCAATCTGGTACCATTGTTGTAAAAAAAAAAAAAAAAAAAATTAGGGCTGTCAAAAATAAAGCGTTAATTAAACATGTTAAGAAAATTAAAGGTGATTAATCGCCTTCTGTGGTGACCTTTGACCCGGTGAGTCTTTGAAGGCCACCGTGGCTTTGTCACATGTTGGAGGCAGACGACACGATGCTGCTTGGCCCCATGAATGGAACATTTAAATTTGAAAAATGCTCAGATGGAACTGTTGATAGGAGCACCAACCTCTGCAGTTTCTGCAGTAAGGAATTTTCATACCATCGGAGTACTGAAAGCCTGAATTATCACCTCAACTCAAAGCATTTAGCAGCAAACCCGGAGGTCCGAGCTAGCACAACCTCTGATGCTAGCACTAGCAGCCAGCCTCGTCAAGCCACACTCAACCAGGTGTTCAGACACAAACCGAGTAAGTCTACCTGTGACCGACTGACTAACTCCCTCACAAAATGGATTGCAATGGACTGCAGACCAGTTTCAGTGGTCGAGGACAGGGGGACTATTGTGTCCAAAACCCAGCAGCTTTACTACGACACATCTGTCAAAATTCATTTGAATTTACAATTTTATTTTATTTTTTTAGATTATTATTTGGGCATTTTTTTGCCTTTAATGGATAGGACAGTTTAGCGAAAGGAGTAGAGAGAGAGGGAACGGCATGCAGCAAAGGACCGCAAGCTGGAATCGAACCTGGGCCACTGCAGCAAGGATGGAGTCTTTGCACATGGGGCGCCGGTTCTATCCACTAAGCAACCGATGCCCTGAAACAACATTTTTTTAAAATACTTTTTCAGCAAAAGTTGATGCATGTGATTAATTTAGATGAATTAATCACAAAGCATTTAATTAATTAGATTAGTTTTTTAATTGCTTGACAGCCCTAAAAAAAAAAAATTAAGAAAATTAACATCTGTGTACAACTAACTCTGTATGGATGTGAAATAATTGCTTTTAATGTTGTATGGCATGGCTCAGGTACCCTTTGTAGGACATGAAAAAGATCATACAGAGAATGAATGCCATACAATTGTCTTTTATTATTTAATTTGTCATTATGCTAACGGCTAATGTTACACTATCTTCTTCGCTGCTCTAAAACATGAGTTGCCAGTGGCTGCACAGCACAACTTCCTGTGTAGGCTTCTGTATTAGAGCAAAGACGAATTGATTTCCAGGAATACTGCCATTTTATCTGCGTGTGAAACTTCTTTAAAGTTTATTTATAGATTTTGTGGTACCATAAACAGTGCATAGACTTGCTTACTTGCTGATACCCGAGCCAGCATTTTAGGCAGTACCGAGGCACTTCCAATACTGGTATGGGTATTGGAACAACTCTAGTGAATCATATTATTCATACGCTTCTATTATTTTTATAGTTGTCGCAGTTTGTATCTATTGATGTAGGAATTTGTTTCTGCTCCCTGATCTTCTCAGATCTTTACATCAAGAGATTTGAGGGGCTTTGAAGGCATTGTGAGCTTGTTGTGGTTTCAGTGAGATTTTAGTTGCTAAATAAGGCCGATATGCTCCTTGCTCACAGTTTAATAGTACTGTGCATGATCTTAAATTGGCTGCATTCACAGAGGAGGTTTGACAGGTTTGTCACAGGAGAGTTGTCGGTGTTTAGATGTAAGAATCAACACCATGCCAGTGTACAGATACTCACCAGGGAAAATGTAACACAGATGTATAGTAGCTCTGGATGAGGGTAAAACAACACTTCAATCAACATTTGCCAACTAGAATAACTTTCAGGTAGGGATCTTAAATTAACACCGACAGTTGGTTCTGATGTTTCTGTAAAGTTTACTTGAGCACATCCTCCCTACAATAGCGTTCGTGATGTTTGATGTGATGCAGTCTACCTCTGTTTTTCTGCTCCATGCTGAGCTGTCTCTCCAAAGTCTCTCTGAGCTCCCTCTCTCGGACCAGCTCCATCTTCAGCTCCGTCCTCTCCATCTGGTCCTGCTTCTCCTGCGCCCGGGCGTTCTCTATGGCGACCCTCAGCAGACCCTGCTTGGAGACACACAGGCACACATCAACAGGTTACACGCTGATCAGAAACCCAAGAGAGAGGAGCCTTACTTCAGCTAATCCTGAGAAAATATATCTGTTTTCATATCACTTTAACAAAGGAGGTTTGCTTTTAAACTTTCCAGATTAAGATCATTTAAAATGAGTTAGTATAAAAAAAGAGCACAGAAAGATCACAAAAAATGCGGCTCCTCCTCAGGCAATGTTTTGGTCTAATGTTTTACTCAGGTGTATAATTCCTGGATTTACTCAGGCAGGAAAAGAAAAAAAATAATTAAATCTCATTTTAACCTCATCAAAGTCAACGCTGATCTTTTAACTACATGCTAAGTGCCGTCACATCAGGGTCAGATGAGGTTAAAAACATGCCTTTTTTTCCCTCTCTGAGAAACCCCAGCCTGTGAGTGCTTTCATTGTGACACTGCTGTAACAAAGACATGTAAAATCTGAGAAGCAGGTCAGCACACGCCCATCCCAATTACCGCACATCCTAAATGTCTGCCACGTCTGCTATTTACCATTTCAGGAAATCCCAAAGAGTGGCTCATCTCCCTTCCTATTCATCTCAGAGTATAATAATAATAAAGCCCCGGCAGAGCCTCACCTGGATGTTCGTGAGCAGGGTCTCTATGGAGGACAAGCCTTCCGGGAAGATGAAGGGAGTGTGGTGGAGACCTGCTGGGAGCTTCTGTCCCGCGGGGTAAGATACCCTCTCGCAGCCTGACGGGGGTTTGTGGTAGACTTGTCTATCACAGCTCTCCCTGGTTGTCTGAGTGGCCATGGAGCTGCTATCTGGAGGGGCAGAGAGACATTTTCATGTTTCCTCAGCTGAATCAGATTAACACAAAGGGTTTACAGTTAATATTTGCAGACTTATTCTATATTTTTCTTCCCATGAAGAGACCAAAACCAACAATGCCTGATTCTATAGCTGACTCCACACTGTTGCACTGGGTGACATATTCCTTCATTACCCTTAATATGAGCACTGTTATTTATGAGTCGTTCTCACGTACACCATTCTGCTGTTACAGCGCTGCAACTAACTATTATTTTCATTTGAGTCATTGTTTGCTCTGTATAATTATGGGAAAGTAGTTAAAAAATGTCGATCAGTGTTTCCAAGACCAAAGAAAACGTCCTCAAATGTCTTGTGTCCACAAACCAAAGATATTCAGTTTAATGTCACAGAGGAGTAAAGAAAACAGGAAATATTCACGGGTAAGAAGCTGGAATCAGAGTATTCTGACTTTTTTTCCTTGATAAATTACTCAAACCGATTAATCCATTATCACATTAACTGCCGATTAATTTAACAGTTGACAACTAATTGATTAATCACTGCAGCTCTGGTTGTAATTACTCTGTAGTGCACCAAATCTGAAAATACTCCCCATAAAATGCACTGTTTATGTGTGCGGAACAATACAGTGCCCAGCTGTTTTAGGAAAAACTTGGCCTTAAAAAAAGAAAAGACAAAAAAAAACAAAAACGAAAGAAAGTACATATTTGTGACCTGTTTTAACTATTCAGGTAATTCAGGACCAATATATTCAGTAGGAACAGATGGGCTTGGGATGAGAGCCACATGCATAGGGCAGCGTAGGGAAGTCAGATGGACCAAACATTACTGCTTTGGTCTTTTTTGGGGTTTAATTTTAAATGTACAGTGAATCTATAGTGATTATAGCTCTGCAAAGGAGTGATGCTTTGTTTTGTGGTATGTACCGCATCTTCAGTGCTACCTGTTTCCTTTGTCTTTACTTACATTCTTGTAGGTAAAAATTTTGGCACACCTGTTGTCAAGTTGATGTGCTGTGTTTCAAATCGCGTACTTCTGTACTTACGCTTAATATTTTGAGTGCATACGTGTGTTCACACTGAGAAGTATGGAAAAATGCAGTGTACTATGAGTACCCGGATGGTGCACTCAAAACAGTCAAGAAGTTGAGTGTGGAACTATGGACACTTCTCGCCCTCAATGGTCACCATCTTGGCTATGTAGTGGAGGGGGAGGGACCACTTTTCAAACTGGAAATGGCGGCCGAGGACTGTGCGACCGTGAATATCGCTGCATTGTACAAATACATGTGTTTTTTGCACAAAGCACCACTATACTGTTGTATAACAGCAGTATGTTTATTGGGTTAATTTAGCAGTCTGTAATGATTTGGTACCACAAACGATAACGCGAATGCTAATGCTAGTTTTCTAACTAGCTAGCTCTGCGGTCGTCATTTCCAGTGAGTGCACAACAGCAATGTTTGGTTTGAGACACTACCCTGTCGGAATTTGCGCACTAGTGCATAGTGCACATAGTATACTACATGGAAGTGTACTAACGGAAGTATGTGATTTGAGACACAGTAATGGTTTATAAAAGAATGTTCGGTTGATGGTTATAAAGATGTGATTTGTAACATGGTGTTAGGTTGTATCTAGAGTCCACGTAGAGTGACCTAGGTTAGTTAGCGAAGTTATTTATTAGCATTAGTCAGGTACATCAATATTTAATAGTTTTTGGGGACGTACTGGTGCACCAACAAGTCTGGGCCAAAATCACTCTGTAATATGAAGCTTAAACTGTTATCAGTATGTTGTTTTAAATCTATGAGCAAGAAAATATAACACATCTTAGCTTCCATGTTGTTCCCACATTATAAAGCTCATGAACACACCAAAGTTGGAAGAACAACTTCCCAACATGGGAAATGGGACCACTGGAGAACACATGAATGCAGCATTTTCTTGCTCTTACAACTAAATATTTTGTGTTCCGTTTTGAATCTTTGTTTTTATACATTGTCGACTCTTTATATTACATTATAATAATCTGACAGATGCTGTTGTGCAAAGCATCTTACAATAAGCACATTCAACGTGCGCAGGAACAAGAGGGATTTCTTTTTCTTTATTCCCTCCTGTCTTGAACAGTGTTGTGTAAATTAAGTTTACATACGGTCTTTCCCTGTGTCACTGACTAAGCAGTGAGCAGTTTCCACCACCAACATACAAGTATTTCCTGTTTAATAGATTGTTTGAAGCATTCAGGTGCCATGTTTGTTTCAAACCTGCACACAGATCATCGTTCCAGCAACATATGTAATCAAGGCTGAATGCAAATTTCTGTAATTCATAGCTTACTTATACATTTACTTAATGTCTTGTAAACATATCAAGCCCAACAGCAAATAGGTGTTTAAACTAATTACTGTGTGTGTGTGTGTGTGTGTACACATACACGAAAGTCCTGGTTTGGGGTTTTGAAAATGTGGTTACCCTTTATTAGATGGCACTCTGCCTATTGATAATGCATCACAGCTTGACATCTCCCATAAAAACAGCTAAGAAGCTGCATTATGGATGACCATCTGTTTGTAAACCTGAGAACTGCGTGTTCCCGATTCATGACGGTAGGGGAGATGAAGATTAGCCATTTTCTGCATTTTTTTTCTTCCTCCCCACATCAGGCAGTTGCTCACTTTCCGCGTTTACTGTCATCCGAGCCACTGAGGACGAAGACGTCCTGGGAGTCCAGCGGTTACTGGAGCAGAGACGAGTGTGAATGTGCGATGTGATATCTGGCACTTTTCTCTGTCTGTGACAAATGACAGTGTTTTCTCCACTTAGCTGACCACAGCATCTTCTGCTCCAAATCCACCCACCTCCCCTACTCCGCCTCGGCCTCACGTCTTGGCAACTGTCACATTCAAGGTGTTTCACAGATGAGAAGCAATACTCCCCCCTCCTCCTCCTCTTTCTCCCTCTTTCTTGCTAAAAGCATTGCTCTGTAGAGAAAGGTAATTAGCAGGTGCTGGCGAGCTCAGCGGAGGGCATCCAACTACACTCCCGTGGCTCACATACAGACACACACACACACATTCGTAGCCGCTGAAGTGCGCAGTCAGCAGCGTGGGCTCCCCAGGCTCCTTGGATGTGACTGATCCTTTATTGAGTTACTGTTTTACGCCTACTTTACCTCACACTCACACACACACACACACACACACACACGTTTGGCATAGATACACACACACACACACACACATGGCTGCCAACTCGTTTGATCATTTACCCATCTCCCTAACCAAGGTCACTGTCTGTTTTTCTCTTTTCTCCCAACTTCATCTCTCTTTTCCCCCCTCTCTTATTCCTCTCCCACCCGTCCCCAGGGCTAATGAACTTCACCACGTGAAGACTGCCAGTCAGCGGAAGAGAACAGGAGGGAGGGAGGGAGGAAGAGAAGGAGAGAGACAGACAGAGAATAAAATTCTGCTGATGTTTGGTTAATGGGAGTGAGGTGTCAGGGATGGCCTCTGATCTTTGCTGCATGGATACGTTGTTCAAAGACCACTGAAACAGCACACACAGCCAAAACTGACTCACACACACACACACACACACACACACACACACACTCTCAGAGATTATCATACAATGGATTGACAGAATGACAGCGCTGAAGTGCTCTTTGAAACTCTGTTCAATCCACGATAAACCTATCTTGTGATGTTGTAGGTCGAAACACAAAAGCCTGCAATCCAGCAAATGTACATGTGTTTCATTTGCATGCAGCAAAATCAATTGGAAATCAATTGCATAAATGCGATGTGTGATGCATGGCATTCACGTTGTTGGTGCCATCACTGTTTTGTCAATATGTTCACAGATACCTGACAGCGTCTGAAACCTTACCTGGGAGGCCTTTGTGATTTTTAGATTCGATTACTGAATAATGTGATTCAGTATTAGAATACATTTAAACAGGCGCGTGCACACACATACAAACTCTCCGTTTCTCTCCCTCTCCCTCTCTCGCTGTAGATTTCTGCTGACTGTTTGTCCTTGAGCAGTCCTCATTAAGCTAATGCAAACCTCCCTGACAGAGAGAACCAAACAACTGACGTTGCAGCGCCGTGGCAACGCGGGCCCTAACGACAGGGAGGCGGTCGTTATGCAGATGAGGTCCAGCTGAGAGCGCGGGAGGCCGCCTGGCTCGTTAGGCCGCGGCCCGGCAAATGGCTCGCTAATGTAACACTGCTTCCTGGTCTAATGGAGCCCTGTTTTGCAGAATTATTTGTCTTTGCTCTCCGCGGGAAGCCGAGGGGGGGCCACCGACAGTGAGGAGGAGAGGAGGAGGAGAGAAGACAGTGAATCCTTATCGACCTGTTACTGAGATATTTCATTCTTGTCACACAGTCATAAAGCCTTTTAAAATAAATAGTGTTAAATAAACCATCACACACTTGCCACAAGTGTTTAAATCCACCGAGTGTAAATGATGACAGAGATGGATGGATTGGATGGAAACTGAGTGCTTGTTTTACTGTATTGACTGACTGTGTTTAAAGGTGATTGATTTGTCTGAGAAATAATCATTACTCATTAATAATCATTAAATGATTGATGACTGGAACAAGACATTCTCAGAAACAGCAAGAACTTGACCTCTGAAGCGAAGCTGACATTGTCATCCAACACATTCGAGTAACGTCAGACAGTTTGTGCTACTTATAAAATGAGACTACAGACAACACAAGTTAAAAATTACATTTAAATGTGATGACTCTATATGACCTATATAAGCAAACCAGAACATCAGCGAGAAAACTTGCCTACTTCTGTACAGTTACTCTTAATGTCTCTCCCTGGATCTGATTCCCTGCAAAATCAGACTAAACGATTTACAGCACAAGACCTAAAGAACCCATGTATAACTTTTCCCAGGCAAAGTTTGCAGTGAGTAGTACGGTCAGCCACTTAAAAGAAAGCAGGAGGACATTTCTCTTCAGAGAAATTTTTTTTTTAACATTATATTTTGTGGTTATGGCTGATACTGGGGCAGGATCAGCAACAGATGGAGAGAACTGCAGGATTTGAGAGGATTCAAAACCAATCCTTAATTGGCCCTCATCCTCCTTGATAGGTATGTAATATATTGCGAGACATTGTTTAACATCAATATATGAATTTACATTGGTAGCTCAAACAAAGTTTACTTTAACATATTCATAGATGTATAAAACAAAAGACACAGCTACTGTGACATCAACCATTGGTTTGTGGGCTCCCATTTTGAATCCTCAAGTTTGGCATTTCTGCGGTCACCATCTTGTTTTTTTGGAGCCACAAGTGACCATATTTGGGTGAGAGGTGGATCTGACCAACTGTGGCCTGTCGACACTCAAAAAGCTCTATATGTAATTATGCGTAACTTTAAGCTTTAAAAAAATGTAAACAAGTGAATTATATGAAAATTCATCCCTGTACAGTTGTCATGAATGTAAACTAGCCACAGAGACCAAACTATTTTTTGTAGCAGGCTGCAAAGATGTTCATTTCTGCTGCAGTTGGGTGTTTAAACATTGGAGGTCTATGGGGATTAACTCACTTCTGGAGCCAGCCTCAAGTGGCCATTCAAGGAACTGCAGTTTCTGGCATTTCCACGTTGGCTTCATTTTTCAGCCCAAGAGGCTGCCACCTAGTCGTATTACGGTTATTAATCTTACAAATAGATATAGTATGTCATTTATTCATCTTGCAAACAGCTGTGTTTAAAAAAGAAAAATAGTATTAAAAATAAGTTATTAACGTCTTCTTTCACTCGCCTCTGAAACAAATGCACGCGCTAACCAGATCATGATCCTTACCACACGAGTTGGTGGTGCACATGGAAACAGTATGGCTTTTGTCCACAGGAACCACCAAAATAAACACAAAATGAAAGTCTAATTTTGTTGCTTTAAAGATGAAAGTTCTGCTTGACCTGATCCAATGCCAACTCAAGCTGTATTAAAGTAACAGTGTGTCTTACCTCTGTCGCTGTGGCCCCTCTTGTTCTCCTTGCTGTAATCCACTGAGGTCACATCTGTCTCTCTGGCCCCGTGCACCACACCAGGTGAGTGCCCCAGCACATTGTGACTTGATGACAGGCCGTCATCATGTGGGTCTGAAATGAAAATACAAAGAAAAGTCAAAGAGATTATAACTTAGAAAATTTTCACAGGTGCTATCACTGCTACAGCATCCTTAATTTTTGTGAGAACACTTTTACACTGTTAAATATACGTACGTGTGTTTTCCGCAGTGCGTTCTGTGTGAGACGGGGAGCTTGACACACTGCTGCTGTGATTGGATGACATCTGAGCTTCCTCCAGTGAGGGAGAAGGGGAGGGGCTGTCACGCACTCGCTCCTACCGAACAACAAAAACTTATTATAGTGACATAGTGTGTTTACTTTGGGAGCAATACTTTCCTAGAAAATTGTGTAACAAATAAAGTTTGTAATGTATTTTATGCTATTATTTTAAAGCCTTTGAGGCTGATTATTTTGCCTAAATGTAGATGTAGATACTGAATTCTGGGTGGGATAATCTTAGATGAGTGCAAGAGGAAAATGCAGTATGTAGATTGTTTAAGAAAATAAACTTTATTTTGGTTATTTATACTTAGTACTTCATTGGATTCAGGGACTGTGCATCTCTATCTACTGCCTTTCATTTTATCTTCAATTACTCTTTCTTTTATTTAGTAAAATCAATTTAAATATATGATTTAAACATAGCACACCACATTGGGTGAATTCCAGTTAGTGCTACTCTGCGAAGCTACACTAGACTAATGGTAGTTACCTTCATTGGTGGATCTAAGGGAGGGGCCGGCGGGGGGCATTACCCCTGTAATATTGCTTATTATGCTGCCTCTGATTGGCTTACCCATACCCTTAACCAATTTCACGCTTCATCCCTAAACCTAACCAACCCAACCAACGAAGGCCACAAGTACTAGCCAATCAGAGGGGGCTTAAGGCAGATCATTCCTTCGCCATGCCCATTAAAACAGATGTTTTTCAATTACGTAGAGTGCTACAAGTAAAATAAAGTGGGCCTACATTTCAATTAAGTGAAGGCTAGCCTGTGGTAGCTAGCTTTACCTTTACAGACTATATCTGTGCAGATGCTGATGCCAGATTCTACAACCCAGAGTTTGTCTCAGAAATCCTATTTTTTTTATTGCACATTAATTTTTAAATGGTAAAACTGGTATCAAAAAAGTTTCTGGGCTAAAATTATTCTGACCAAATACCTTTCAGCTTTGTAGGGCAGAACAGAGTTATCCACAAATCACCTGTAGTCAAAATTAAACCATATTGTTGAAAGGCCTGGAAACATCATATGGTATTTTACATAATCTGGTGTTTACAGAAGAATTTGGCGCTCATTTCAATACACCTCATAAACCATCTTTGGGACTCAGCCCAGTGTTTAAAAAAAAACAATGGTCCGCATCGTTAAAATTATGACCGGAGATGGTACTTCCTGCTACTGATGAGGACATGGTGTAACGTTAGACTCTGCAAGGACTGACGCCCACAATCTGAATTTTTTGGCAATAAATAAATCCTTCCAAACCTCCTTTAATTAGTCTGAAACACAGGACTGCTTTTAAGCAAAGGTAGCAACTTGGCTGGGACAGTCGAAGTTTCTGTCCATGTGCAGGATATCTCAAATATTTATAAATAGATATGGGATTGGCCTCAAGCCAGAGAACAACTGATTACATTCTGGTAGCGGTCCAGATATCCACCAGTAGACAATTACCAGTTTTTAGCCATAACCATTGGATGAAAGTAAATCTAAATTCAGCCAGCTAAATTATTAAATTATCTTGGATTCAAGAGTCATTGGGTGTTAAAACTGAGTTAGTGTTATGTCTTTTGTTTTTCCAAATATCTAATTTGTGTGTAATGTAGCTATAATTCTGATTTCATGTCATGAGATCGTGGGTGTCATACGGACTCTGGCCGGTGGTCAGATCCACCGAGCTGATGGGCCTCTGAGTTCACCTTAATGACGGAGGTGGGAGCCCTGGCGGGGGGCTTGGCGTGGAGCTGCGCCACGTTGGCCATGCTGGCCAGCGTGCTCAGTCGGTTCATCTGGCCCATCGCCATGGAAACCGAGGCCGGCGCCAGACTGGCAGGGATCAGAGGATGTGACATCATCATGAAGGGCAACTGATCCAGAACTGGTGGGGGAGAATAGAATAAAATAGAATGGAGAGGTGTTGAAGGAGGGCGAGTACAGTAGAGTACAGTAAGTGTCTGTCGCTCTTCGTATAAGGTCAGACCAGCAGCTCTGTGTAAAGGCCAACATACACTGTGCACCCAACATGAAACAGGCCTCGTCTCTCTCTTCTTTCACTTTTGCTTCAGTTATATTTATCCAACACAACTTAAAGGCTCTGCGCCGTCCTGTGCTGTGCACTGAGCTGAAAGCCTGCAGCGTCTCTGCTTCTCCGAGGACAGGCTTGAAACCGGACACCAATGTCATTCCTTTGTGATGTCAATATTACCTGGATGACTGCTCTGCTTCTAAACCACGACTTGAAAAATGTGTGCATGTGCGTGTCGGGGGTTTAGAGATGTGGAGTGTGGAAAAAGATGAGAGTGGAGAGGCGAGCAGAAGAATAAGGGAGGGGGCATGGCTGAGACACACTCATCCTGCTTATTACAACACCAAGATGTAAAAACAGTGATAGTCTAAATGTGTTTTTGTGATGCTTCAAATGATTTTCATAAGTGTCACCTGCAACAACTCAAAACACAGCCTCTGTGGAATCAACAAAAACTGGCTAACTTTTCCGTCAATGCCCCGGTGTTCTTGACGATAATCCAACACGTTTTCAGCGGTTCAGACCAAACTCTTATTATCTTGGACAATCTGTTGTTTGCACTCGTCTCTTTACGACAAGCATCCACTATCTTTAAAGAAAATCCTTCCTCTCAACAGCACCCTAGTGGGTTGTTGCAGTCCCTCTATTCATGAAACAAACAATCCAGTTGGGGGGGGTGGTGGATAAAATGACATAAATATTTATCATTTAATAAAAGGAAAAACAAAAACAAAAGAAACACAGGGAGGAAGTGGAACAAAAGAAGCTGATGGCAGTCCTGGTGCTGGGCCAGCAATGCACGCTGGGTAATTATAAACACAAAGGAAAAAATCTTGGACTCTATTCCACACAATTGTCACAAATAATAGAACGAGTGCATGGAAACAAAAAAAGGCTATCCAAAGAGGAGAGATGAAATAGAACAAATAATGGAGGGAGAGGAGAGAAAGAGAAGAAAGAGAGAGGAAAAAGGCAAACTCAGAAATAAAGAGTGAGGCGTTGACTTTATGAGTCGGGCTCGCTGGACATATGTGCAGTGCTTTTGTGCATTTGGCAGATTAGTCTCTCACTTGCCCAGAGCAGAAACCAATCCAAACAAAAGATCTGTCTGAATGGAGCTAAATAACCAGATGCTCCGACAATCAACTAGCAGCCAACTCCAAATATTAAGCCTTGGTTAGAAACCAGCACTCCACTTTTTGTCCACCCCCCACCTCTATAATTTCATTTTCACTCTCCTTCTTCTTAACTCTGTTTTTATTTCCCCCTCTCTTCACTTTCTCTGCCCTCCCATCACTCTCTCTTATGTTTCATTAAAAAACATCAAAAGTCAAAGTGCCTCTCTTATGTTTATCCAAACAAACCATTACTGTAAACAAACAGTTACTGTAAATTTCCCAGAAGATCTTGTTAAATGCAGAAATGGCTGCTCCCCGCTCTTCCCCGGCCCATAAGGTGTCACACTCAGCATTTGTGAGTGTGTGTGTGTGCGTGTGTGTAATCTGAGATTGCCTTTGTAGTGGTTAAAGCTCTGGTAGGGGCCTATCCTTCCCATAAGGCCGTGGGTGGCTGTATGGAAAAAACACATCGTTTCTTATGTGTGTATGTATGCCTGAGCTGTGTGTTTGTGTGTGTGTGTTTCCACTTGACTCTATCATTAACAGTGATTAAGCTTTACAGGTTTATAATGGCTGGTGGTAACCATGCCACCTAACTGCGCACAGATGCCGGCAGTCGTAACTGAGTTTATACAATGGTAAACAATGCTTAAGACTGGGAGTGTTTACAGACATGGGTAGAGAAAAAAATGTACTACACACACACACACACACACACACACACACACACACACACAGTCAAAGCCAGAAACAAGAAGTAACAGGCTCAAACATGCTGTAATTTCACTTTTGCCTCCTTCTAATTTATAAAAAAAGCACAAGGACACTTTCCTCCCTTTCATTTCTGTCCTAAAGCCTCGCAGTATGCGCCACATGTTAAGTGTGTGTGTACGCGTCCCAGGTTAATAGCGTATTCCACACAGACCCCCATAAGCCCTGTCATCTGTCTAAACACACTGATGTCGCTTTAACCTGTCGATAACAGTGTGGGCGGCGTGTCCCATTTGTTTGTGTGTGTGTGTGTGTGTGTTGGTGTGTGCATGTGTGCGTGCGTGTGTCCGTTCCGCCATCGATTGTCCAGCATTTGTCGTTTGCATTCAGGATAGTGAATTAGAGAGAAGACTATTGATTTGGCTTCAGCCTCTCATCTTATTCATCTCTCTATCATCCCGGTGCGCTCGCTCTTGTCCACTGGTGCTCCGCTTTTTGCTGGCTGCTCTTCCTTCACTGCACAGCCGGGGAGCAGTGCAGTAAAGGGAACAGTTTTAATATCACACGACTAATTAATATACCAGCACAAGTAGCCAAAAGGATGTGAACACTTTGCTTACTTAAAGACCCTTTCCAGTGAAAATCAAGTTTTAAAACTGGTTAAATATGATGTTTTTTATACACGACAAGACATAATGTGAGTGAAATAAGCAGTAAACGCCATGGCTGAGCATTTTCACCTTGGAACTGCAGTGAACCAATGACAGTCTCAAAAACACAGATTCAGACAGCCATGGTTTCATATGTCACAAACCTGAGGGACCTGTCAACTTGCATATCATTAGCATGATGCTCTGCCAAAACAAGGTGTATGAAATGAAAAGCCAGGCGCTGGTACGTATCAGTATTTTGCAAGCTAATTTTCACTTTCACTTATACTTGTCAGAACTGGTGATCAGGAAGAAGGTTTATCTAATATTAGCAAAACATTATCAGCTGTTTGATAACGTAGTAAAGCAAAAGGTTCATGTTATCCATTACCGTTTACAAGCAAAGGTTTGTGCGTTTGACCAGCGAGTCGAAGGTGAGCAGGTGCGCTTTTGCTACAGATGAGCAGCTATAAGGGGTGGGTGGAGATAGAGGCTGGTCTTAACTTGCATATTCATATATGTGCGTACTTAATGAGGCAAGTTTGTTAAGGCCCAAACACACTAAACCAGCATCAAAGAACTAGTAACGATGAAGGCCGACTGTTGCATCGCCCCACGTCGCCTGTGTCTCAGCCAAAAAGTTGCAACTTAACTTTATTTGTATAGCACCTTTCATACAAACATGCAGCCCAAAGTGCTTCACATGGCAAAACTGGAATGACACAGACACAAAACAATAAAATATCAAAAAAGCAAACCAACCAAAACAGAACAAACTAACAAAAGAATGATTAAAACTCCATAGAAATAAAATAGAATAGAAAATGAACAGGGGAGATAAAACAAGGTAAAAACCAATGGTTAAAACATACAAATCAAGACTGTAATGTTACACCACATTAAATGACAGATTAAAAAGGTAGGTCTTTAATTTATGTTTAAAAATAACTGAATAATAACTGAAGACAACACAAAGACTACAGTCAATGGCCAACTAGCACGTACGCTCTGCACCTGCGTGAGAAGAAGTAACTCCCCATTCCAGCAGGTAGCGGTAGTCTGTATTCATCATTGAAAAAAGGAAAAGCGACAGGACGGATTCAAGACGCTAGTTAGCCAGTTAGCACGTTAACAACCCAACCCAATGTTGAAAGAACAAAGCATATTCTGCTAAAGAGCTCAATGGCTCAAAAACAATCTAACCTATTATAACAGATTTGCTTTCATTTTACACCCTGCTGACTTTGGCATTTATTTGCTTTCCTCACTTCCGTTTGTCTTCTGGTGCCACCGTCTCTGACAACGATTCAAGATGCTGAATCAGCCAAAAAAAGGCGCCAACTATTGCCAACGGTGCAGGACACACTGCCTCAGGCAACTAGGGCGACAGAGGCTCACCAACAGCCCGACACTGACCAACAGCTGACCGCCAGCTTGGTGTGTCTGGGCCCTTACATCATGGAAAAAACTTCTAAATGTGTACTTCTGAAAAACAGCCATGAGATTCTAGGGGTTTAATCGATCCCAGGAGAGGAACTTTCATCCTTAAAAGTAGAGACTTTTCTTCCCGTAAATCCTGATCTAATGTTAGTCAATACAAGAGGCCCATGCCATGTAGAGCATGAGTAACAGATCTGGTTTGGGTCTGCGCTCTCTTGATGTCGTGACTAATATGTACTAATGATTTGCGGGCAACATTTTGAGGCCACAGAGCGGATGACCGACTGTGTTTTCTCAGGAAACATTTCCTGAATCTTATTGAATCCCACAAGTATGCAAACAAATCAAAGCTGAGGGAAATATTCGTCCTTACGGGCATTTATCACAAATGGAAAAACACAACTGGTAATAAAAAAATATGATGCTCTCTATGTTTCTGATGGTTTGGATTACCTGACCCAGATGTTTGTTTCTCTTCTTCTGAAGAACTAAGTCATCACTGCTGTAGTTTGTTTTTCATCCACCGTCGCTCAGAGGAAGCGTACCGGCAGCAGAGGTGATGTCACATCCTGGTTTTAATCAGCTCAGTTCAGCAGCCGCACATAAACACAGCTGCTCAAGTCGTATTGACTTGGCATCACGGATGTGTACAGACAACAACCGTGCGATGTGTTATACGACCATAATTAAACATTTCACACAGACGCGTGTGCATGTGTGCGGATGGACCAACGGATGCCACTCACCCAGTCCATGGTTGTGGTCCCCGTTCTCTCCGTTTGGCCCACCATGTTGCTGGTTGCTGTGGTAACCAGCCATCGCCTCCAGCTTGATCTTCTTGGCCAGGGCAGACAGATCTGAGAGGGAGACAGATATAGAGAGAGGTGGAAAAGGGAAGAGAAGGACAGAAAGAAAGAAAGAAAGAAGAATCAATAAGAGCCAGATCAATGGCCCCGGTGGAGGATTAGAGCAGTGGGTAGGCAGGAGGTTGTCATGGGAAGACAGAGGCCAGCCATTCATTCTGACTGCACCGCTGCACTGGCCATTTAGTCTGCCAGGGGAATCGGCAGTGATAGGAACAAGCCAAGACATTCATCTCTCCCACACAGGGACATCACATCCCACAGCACAGCACACAGGATGACAGTCAGTGGCGGCAGCAGCTCCACCTTTTAGCCAGAAAGCACTTCTTTATCAGTACAAATTAGACACATTAGAAAAAAGTGAAGATACTTGTTAATAGGGGTTATGCACTTTTGGATAAAATGAAATGGAGAGTGGTAAAATGTGGCAGCCACATTTTAATTTGTGCCTTGAACCCCAGAAGGTAGTCTGACCCACAAAGCACCCTTTAAAACTCCATCTTATGCCACAGAAAATTAAATATCTCTTGCGCTAATACAGACAAACAGTGAATTATTAAAGTTGGACAAAGCACACAACTGTGCAAACACGACTCAGGAAACGCAAACAAACCATAAGTCTTAATTTCCTGATCTTGGATACAACTAAACATTTGCAACAAACTGAGCTGCTGAGTGTTTTCTCTTCATTACACAATTGGTTTTCTCAGGTGAATCGTCCATCCGTCCGAGACAGCCACAACAAATTGCTCCTTTTCTTCTCATCTTCTCTCCCTCTCTTCCCTGCCATCTTCCCCCGCTCTCCTCCCATCCCCTCTCCTTACTTTACCTTTTCAAATGTCAGCATCACAGCAGGACATAAGCCACTGTGTTGCGTGTGTGTATGTGTGAGTGCACGAGGGTGAGAAAAAGAGACTAAGGAGGATCACATCAAAGATTTCTCCCTGCCTTTTACGCTCAAATGTCCTCCCTCTCTCTGTCTCTTTCTCCCCTCTCATGTGGCCAGCTCTAATCAGTAGCGCTGACATTGCCGCCGTGCCCTCTCCTTTGGTGGAAAAAGACTCTTTTCCCACTGAGAAAGATGCTCTTGAACACTCACGCATGCACAACACACACGTATACACACACTCACACACACACACACTCAAGCACCTTTGAACAGTGAGAGGAAGCGGAGCTAACAGAAAATGGCTTCTTTTGAGGCGGGGAATGAAAAGATCAGGTTGCAGTGAAGAGCACAAAGCCAAGGGCAACTTTGAGAGCGGTGAGGTGCCAACAATTACTTTTCTGCCTTTCTCTGCGCTTCACACACACACACACACACACACACACACACACACACACACACACAAACACCACAATGGGGACTGAAACACACAACTGTTTGTGACAAGAACAAGCAGCACTATGGCCTTTAGCAGGCACTTGACTGAGGCTGTTCAAAAATACAAAACAGACTCTGACATTACAAATAACCAGTTTTCCTTCAGACATTTTTACTCACCTTTTCACCTGCCACTACATTGAAAATTTTAGTTAGCCTAAAACTTAATTTAATTCTTTGAGAGACATTTAATGGGCTAGTTTGGAAAAGGGGAACTGAAAATCTTAAACAAATTAAACATATTTTAATTGCTGTGTTTTCAAGCAGGAGGCTTTTAAGGAAATTATAAAAATTGATTTCAAAGCGGTTTCAGAGGCCCAAAGATTATGAATCTTACTCAACTTAACAGAGGACTTTGTGTACTTATAATTCAAGAAAAAAGGCCAACTTGCAAGTTATGGGTTGTTTCTCATGTGTCAGCAGCGTGTATGGTAATTTTATTAATCAACACACAGGTCGCCTCTCAGAGCCCCGCCTCCTCACACTTATTGATGATGGGTAAAATGTGTCATTATAGGGGTCTGCAGGAAAAAGGTGGAAAACCGCCTCCCCATCCCGTGTGTCTACTCTGCATCAGCAGCCTGCTCTATTCTTTAAACTGATGGGAGTAACTCAGCTGGCTGCCAGGTCATTGCTTTCACTTTCCGACAGCTGAAAAGAGAACAGAATCTGAACTTTGCCAGCAGCTCCTCTGAGAGCTGGAGCAACAATGTGTCACTAATTCACTGTTTAAAGAAGCTGGTGGAGCCAAAAGAGGGATTTCTGCTGCGACTTCTGAGGAATTACAAACCTCGACCTTATGAAAAACAAAAAGGGGGGTTGAGAGAGTCGGAGAGCCTTTTTCCTTTTAATGGGTCTTTGATACAGAACACTGGAAGGTGACCTGAGTGAATGTAGTTCATGCCAAATTACTGAAGTTTGTATGTTTTCTCTTCAAACAGCACAGATATCAATTACACATAATTAAAAATAGATTTATATGAGTCAAAGCTTATTAGAAGGAGTAAATTATATTTCTTGCTTTACTTATTTAATTTTGCTCATCATTTCATTCATTAGTTTATTCTGATCAGTTCTTTTTTATATTTGCACATTTTACACCTTTTAATTAAAATACTGTGCCTAATTACATATGTGCCAGTAACTGCAATTTCTTTCCCATACATTTTTATTAATATATATAGATATATCTACTTCCCCATGTTTTTTTGTCCTCAATACTTAGACACAGATTCTGGTGTGTCATTGACTGATCATCATTACTGACGAGTTTTGACTATAAAAGTGTGCAAATTCTTTGATTGGAGGCATGTAAAGGGACAAAAATACTTATTTTTCACTTGTTTGCTGTATCTTCAGTTCACCAGATAAACATGTGTGTGATTCAGAACACTGTATTTGTGGTGTAGAGATCTGCTCCCTGATAGTTTTCTTATTAACATGCTGAGTAGTGGACTATATAAAACCTAAATGGGACTATTATGGAGAAAATAAAAAAATACAAAGAGCAGAAAAAAGGGAACAGTTTGTCAAAGTTGAAGGTAATGTTTTTGTCAATCAAAAAAGGCAAATAAATAAAATCTTAAAAAATGTTAAATCTAATAAAACTAATTTAGATTGTGACTGGTAATAAAATAAAATAAATTAAAACACAAATAAAATATTTAAAATATATATTTTTCCACACTAAAGTGCACATTTTGGATCTTGCATATGATGTCAGTCACTTTAAGATGCACAGTGGACACCATAATTACACGGTGTCAGAAATTATTCCTCTCAACAGTGGTAGTTTAGTACCTCTGAGCACCTGTGTGATATTGTTTCTGCAGCACATGTGTGCACATGTGTACATATGTACTGTATGTGCGTGTTGAGGCCTGGGTGGTCACCTGCAGGAGGCATGATCCCAGCGTGCATCAGACCGCTGTGGGACAGCATGTGGTGAGTCCCGCCCTCTGTCACACTCTGCAGCCTCTTGGGCGGTCGTCCTGGCCTCGAACTGCGGGCAGAAAGCACAAGTTAACATTAGTCATTAGGCAGTTTAATACTTAATACTCCCCTCAGTCAGTCAGGTTTTCATGCTGAGACTGAGATGGGTGGCCTGGGTAGAGAAACTGCCCTTCAGTCTGTAAACCTCTGATCCTGCTGAAGTGTCAACAAGCAAAACACTGAAACCTGACCGGTTCCAGGAAGGCTGCTGTACAGCAAATCTGACCTCCCTGTGGATACCAGCAAGCAAAAAAGGAGTTTCCCTATGGCATCAATAAAGCACCTCATTACTGTTCAGCTTACTCATTCATTTGTTTGCTTATTAAATGTGTTTGCTCGTCTCCTTTCCTTTCCATCCTTTCCTCACTCGGTCATTCATACCACCCCCACCCCCCCACCCCCCCCTCGCCATGTCACAAATTTCCTCAATAAAGGCTGCGACTACAAGCAGATTCACATGGTTTGATTGAGCCGGGCATGCTCAATCAATCCTGGAGGAGGTATGTGAAAAGCTGTCAGACATCACTTTGGCTCTGACTAAACGGTGTGAATGTCCTGACAGGGGAAATGACACGGGCCACATCAGGCTTAATGACAACCAGCGCAGCTCATCTCCTCTCATACCAGCCTGACATTGGATAACATGAGTCTGTGGGCGAGTGCGCGTACGAGTCTGTGAAGAGTGTGTGTGTGTGATAATAAAAGACACAGTGAGTGAAAGAGGGGGAAAAAGAAGAGCGGGAAGAAGAGGGTGTGACGTGGACAAGAGAAACAAAACAATAAAAATGTAAAAGGAGATGAGATAAAGGGGAAGATGAGGAGATGTAAGGTGAGAGGAGAAAAACGAGAGTCCAAGAGAGCGAGAAAAGGTGGGAAAGAGTAAAAAAAAAAAGGAGGGAGAGATAGACTAGCAGCAGCAGCAGCAGCTTCCTAGCGTGGGGTGTCTTTGAGCAGATTTTAATTAGAATCTAATCCAGCCGTCATTAAGGCCCCATAAACGAAGCTGTCAGTCAGGAGATTAATGGCGCCTCATTTGCATATTGCATATAATTCATCAATTACCCAGCAGAAAGGACCAATCCCCTGTTGACACACCCACTGGCTGAGAGAGGGGGGAGATGGAGAGAGACAAAAAGACAGAGAGAAAGATTGTGTAGTCACTAACTGTGGGAGAAAAACAGGTAGCTTGAGTGTGTGTGAGCGCACATCACTGTGTGTGTGTGTGTGTGTGTGTGTGTGTGTGTGGCTGTGTCTGGTATGTGTGTGTGTGTGTGTGAAGTGTTCAAAGGTTAATTTGATGAGCCGATGAGCTCCACAGTTCCTGCCCTCAGTTTTAATGAGTTGTTATTATTGTCTCTTATTATGGGCCCAGACCGACTGGGATGTGACAGCTGACATCAGATATCACACACACACACACACACACACACACACACACACACACTCTCGCACACACACACTGGCACGTAGACAGTGAGAGAGAGACACTCAGGTAGACGTACGCATATTCACACACACCCTGACAGACAGACAGCAGGAATGTGCAAGAGGGATGAAGTTGTAAACGTGTGCAGCCGTGGGAGTATGTGTGTTTTTTAGGGAGGTGCATTCACATCACACACTTTTTTTTTTGGCAGTGCATATAGAGCAGCATACTGTGCTTCACAAAAGCAGGAAATTTATTTTTAGGTCTAAAGTTTGAAGGTAAAGCAACACACTGCAACTGATGTTGAAACACCTCAAATGAACACACACTCACACACACACACACACACACATATGTACACAAATGCAGAAGCGAGCACCGGTGGGGGGAAATAAAATACACAGAGACCAAAGACTGTGGTTGGTTTTTACAGCAGCCGCTTCCCTTTCCCTTACTACTGTTTATTTGCACAAACTAATTAATGGCCTGTGTGTATTGTGTGTGTGTTGGTGGGCGTGTGTGCCTTTGTATATGTTGCATTTTAGGGGGCATAAAGAACTGGAACCTAATTTTGTGTTTAGTCTGCAAGTGCGTTGATACATCAAAGTGACCCGTAGAGGGAGGTCTATGTGTGTGTTGTGCATGCGAGTGTGTTTTTGCGAGAGTGTGTGTGTGTGTGTGAGGTTGGAGAGCACCGGTTCCCTGAGGTAGGATTAATGAAAAAGCCTTTCATGGAAAAGTCATCAAGCTGAGGGGATGGAATGAGAGAGAGGAGGAGGGGGGGGGGGGGGGGGGGGGGGGGGGGGGGGGGGGGGGGGGGGGGGGGGGGGGGGGGGGGGGGGAGAAAACAGTTCATTGTGCATGTGCGTGTGTGTGTGTGTACAAGGTGTGTGTGTGTGCAGAGGAGGGGGTGTATGGCTTATGACCTCTTTGTCTCAAACTTTAATTAAAATCTCACCCAGACGTCCTCCCTCATGCCAACGCTCTGGCCACACACACAAATACACACATTAAAAAAAAGAGGTACTCTGTACATTGAGTTCTGCCCTCCAAGCTTAGATTAGTGTGTGTGTGTGTGTGTGTGTGTGTGTGTTACCTGAAACATGAAACGCCAAACATGGCAGCTGGAGCTTAGCACAGGTGGAACAGAAACAAAACATAACAAAGATGACAGATCTCTCTCTTCCTCACTAACACACACATTCACACACACACACACGGAGAGGAAAGAGAAAAGTAATGAAAGAAGAGGAAGTGTTACAGTCAAAACAGTGGAACAGCTACTGGCTTGGAGGGACTGAGGTGCTGATAGGTAGCAGCTGTGTGTGTGTTTATGCGAGTATGTGTGTGTGTGTGTGTGTGTGTGTGTAGGAGAACTAGCTCAAACAAGATTTTGTTTGGAATATATTAGCGGCGGTTTACAGCTCCCATGCTCCCATCCTTTCAATCTGTGTTTATCACACGGGTTTGTATTCGCCGTCACGGTCCGGTTTGATAAATCATATCGTCGCCGCTGTGCGCAGGAAGACTTGAGCTGCTGGTTAGAGAAGGCAGGGAAAGATTGATGTTGTGATCTTCCTCTCAAAATCGAGGGCTGGAAAAAAAAAAAAAAGCTTTATGCGCCATTGTTATTAAGGAAAGCCTGTGTGATGATGTCATGAAAGAAGCAGGCAGGACAGCACACACACAGTGACTCTCACACACACACACACACACACACACACACACTCACACAGGACGTTTGATCATGGCAAGAATCTGATCTCCTAAACTGATACTGCCTTGCATTCCTCTCCCACATTCCAGGGTCAAGACGATGTCAAGTTTGTGTGTATGTGTGTTCAAAAGTGAGTGTGTGTGCTCAAAAGTGTGTGTGTGCACACGGTGTACTCCATTAAAACCTGTCATAGTAGAAGACACGGAGGCCCTCTCTATCTCATCGTGCTCTTCTCTATAAAACATCAAAAGAGTGCAGGGGTTAAAGTTGAGCTAATCACCCCATCCTAACACACACACACACACACACACACACACACACACACACAGCCCTCCTCCCCTTCATCCTAACGCTGCTGACTTTGACAGTGAGTTATGGCGTGGCGGTGGGGCTCGGCTTTGAGGAGTCCACCTTCCCACACATACACACAACACCGGCTCGCCGCTGCCAACTCGCATGGCCGAGGTTCGCCACAGAGAAACACAAAGAGCAAGCTTTTGTTGCACTCCGCAGGCCACTGCGTCTCATTTATCATTCATCATTTCATTTAACTAACTTTTTTTTTTTTTTTGGTTTGTTTATTCTACACCTGCCTCATATTTGTCTCTGCTTCTGTAAATGTTCCTGCGTGTGAGAGCTGCAAAGAAACACATGCGAACTCAGGACGTTGTCGAACGTCAAGAGTCAACCTAAATTACAAGGAAACATAATTTCCCTTTAATCTCCCGTGCGATCTGGCCATGGTTTTGCGTTTTCTGCTCCCACCCCAATACAGTGGAGGTGAATGGAATTTGTTTGTGGTGTTCACACCCTTGCAAATGATATTTCAGCAACCTTTTCCCAGAAAATGTCCCTCTAATGCAGGATAACCATCGCAACACAACAGTTTTATGAGGACTATTTCTTCAGAAGTCCTCCAAAAACCGCTATCTGCCTTCTCTATGTTATCTGTTCTCCAGAGTAACATGGAAACTGTGTCTGGAAAGGCACTTGTCAGACCACCACAAACAAAATTCCACCTCCATTTGTTGGGCTCTAAGCAGGAATCTTAAAAACAGACATGGGTGTGAGTTTCGCTTCAACATTGGGGACAAACACACATGAAGCCAGCCAAAGAATTTTGTGCACCAACACTTCATTTCCTGCATTATGGGGATTTTTTTATGCACCAATTGCAATTTATGGTACAAACTTCATCAGAATGAAAGTCTTTTGCCACTTTTGTGTTTTTAGTGGGCGGGCAAATGCACATTTTAAATACTGAGGGAGACCTTTCTCTTGCATCCCCTCGGAAATCTACACCAATGGAAAAAAGACATCTTAAAATGAGGGCAAGCAAAAACAAAACTGTCTGCATGGTAGATATCAAGTGGCAAATGATAAAATATATGTGTAATTTATATGAACCAACCCTTTAAAGTAGCACTGCCAAGGAAACACGTCCTCGCTGTGTGTAAAAAATGTTCACACGCACAAATGCAGAAACCATGTGCTGTTGTTAACACATGCTTTGTTAAAAAGTAACAAGAGATCATGTTACTTCACCACATTAGTAATATGTGGAAAGGTGGCATTTGTGTACTCTACACAAGTATAGATGCACAATATATGCACGCGCGCGCACACACACACACACACACACACACACACAGAATTTGACCTGAGCAAGCTGTTTGATGTGTGTTCCTAACAGAGAATGAAACTGTTCCTTTGTGAGGGAGAAAGAAAAGGACGGAGGATCAGGTTGCCTCCTACACGCCATGTTCTCTCTGTGGAACTAATGTCATTTAGCAGCAAAGCCAGCAAACACACAGGCGTGACCGTGTGAGCTTGTGTGTTCAGAGATGACAGAGGGAGTGTGTGTGTGTGTTTGTGTGCCACCAATGCATGAATTATAACTAGGCTTTTGACTGGGGGTGAAGTCGGCCCTTCTTCATGGTTTGATGAGTCAGTGGTCAAGGTGTGTGTGTGTGTGTGTGTGTTTGTGTGTGTGTGTGTGTGTGCACAGCAGGGATAAATGAGTGAGACAGAGAGGAGGAGGAAAGACAATGATAAACAGAGGATATTTTTCATGACCTCTGTTTTGTTTTAATGTTAAAAAAGAGGCAATGAATGAATAAACAGGAGGAATTCATATAAAGCACATTTCGTTAGTCATGTTAAACTATCAGACAAGGCTGTTACTTCCCCTTCAAGCCTGTCCGACTGTACTGGACTGGAAAATAATAAGTGATGGCTGTCTTAATCAGTAACAAAAACCTCACTGAGCCCTGACGCTGTCACAGAGCTGTAACATCATGTTCTTAGAGATGAACTTTTGGGTTCAGTCGGCAGGGCCGGGCCAGTCCCCGCTTTAATGACACCCATGTAGAGGCCCACTTTTACCTGCTACTACTGTATGTTTGCTCCAACCACACCAGGGATTACTTAGAAACTTCTACTGCAGGGGGCTGATGCTAATGGCCACCACAGCACATTTGAAGCCTTCAGACAAAGAATCACGGAAGTCGTTTGAAGATTTCAGACGAGTGATGTTTTCAGATCTCATTAACTAAAGGCTGTTTGAGTGTTGTGTGGATAATTAGAGACGGCGGAGGCTGTGTATTTTCAGCGGTTGTATAACAACGTTCCCATTAACACCTGACATAGAAGAATTCCCAAAGCAGCCAGAAGATGCATCTGGATTTTGTCTTGGTTGGAGGGCCTCAGATGCTTAAGCACAGGTGTTAATCCATGCACATGGAGCTGGAAGCTGATTCTCATAATGGCTTGTTTCTTTTAAAAGTGTTTCTGGTTTTGCTCAACAAGTCAAAGCTTGTTTCAAAGCTCCAAGATAAAAGTGGAGCCAGATTAAAGCATCTGAATAATTTGACCTAAAACCAAGAAACATAAAGAAGTAGAAAATAAGTAGTTAATACTTTGCAAATTCAGTTTTTTTGGTGTCTATCGCTGCACATCTTGACACATCCCCTATCTGTATTTAATGGCAGGTGTAAATTGGATCATTCATGCTCCAAGGAGCAGGGATTAACTATCAAACAATATAAATTCCCCAAACTAAGGCTAATCCACACTCCTCTGGATTCAAACCCATGCTGTTACGAGCATGTGGTCTGCACAACAGCAGACTGAGGCACCAGGAAACCACAAATCCCAGCCAATTTATAGCCCTTTATCCAAACATCTCTGTGGTGCACTGGATTGATGACCCATGTAGTTGGTCACCAACGGAGTTCTGCAAAACAGCTAATTTACATAATCGCATCATAAATACCGAGAATTCATTTAATCATCTCCTCTGTTCTGATGCTCAGGGCTAAAGAGTGTTGATATGATAAGACAGCGAGTTATTAAGGAAGGAGAGAGAGGCAGAGGCAGAGAGAGAGCAAAGGGATCAGCGAGTGAGTGAGTGAGCTTGTCCTGATTTAAGCTGCCGCTTGGGGCCAAATGAAAATTAATTAATTTCTGTGAAGAATCAATTTCTCAGAATGACAGTGTCAGATTCAATGTGTGCATGTGTGTGTGTCAGAGAGAGACTGTGTGTGTGTGTGTGCATGTCAGAGAGAGCGGGAGATCACAGCCTACGATAACATGACAAACTTTTAAAGATTTTTTTTTTATTAGGATTACTAAAATTCATTATCGTCAACACCATCATCACCATCACAGTGTTTATCACCCTTTAAAATGGTAATTAGTGACAGATGGGCCTATATCTGCAGTGATGTGGGGAATAAAAAGGGGCAAACTGGACGTCCAGTCAGCCATCATCATCAAGCGGTACACAACCAAACAAAAACAATTCATAATTTCAGATCATTTCATATATTGAATACTCCTTTTATCCCATATAGTTACATGTGCAACAGCGTCTAGAAGCTTTTAATTTAGAGAAATGTCATGCAGATTTTAGCGTAAACCCAAGTACTCAAATATTCACAAACAGTAGGACACATAATGTCATACATAAAACAACTGCAAACAACAGGTCTTTGCAAACTAATCAGTAATTATCAATGCAATTTGCAAAAAGTTATTATTCAGATGTTTGTCATGATGTGCAGAAAAATTCCACAGTGTAAAAATGGGTGGGTAAATGTCCCTAAAATCATTTATGTGCCTTGATACCCAGTGGTGTACCGGAGGGTAAATGCAGGTATGCGGGTATACACACTTCTTTTTCTAGCTGTTTACATTATACCCGCCTATCAGCCAAAATGTGGAACATATAGGAGGTTATACCCACTTCCTCCATGGTTATCTACCCACCTCATCAGCTACCACCAAACCACTGATTATACCTCTTTAGATAACCCCACCTGCTGCACCCACCCCCTTCACACATAAACTGGGCAGCCTAACCCTAACCGCATCACCATCAGGGCTGCGTCCCCCTCTACTCACTATATAGTCCCCTATAATGCTCCCTATACAGATGAGTAGTGAATGAGTGAATGGTTTCGGACACAGCCCGGGTCACCCTCTGTCACCCCTCCACATCCTGCTCCTGCTCACCTTGCGTTGGTACAGTCGTTGTAGAGCGTCTCGAAGTCCTGCCTGGAGATGAGTTTGCACCGGTTCACCCCGGGCTGGATGGCCCCGAGCCCCCGCAGCACCCGCACCTGCTCCACGTTGCACACCACCGGGGCAATGTCCAGCCGCTTCAGCTTGGTGTAGACGGTATGCAGCCCGCCGACCAGGTGCTTGAGAAACACGTCGAAAGCCTGGGGCAGGCAGATGAGCTCCGTGTCTTTCACCGTGAACGACGCCAGCTTGGCACCTTTCACCTCCACCAGTTTGCACTCGTTGTTCTGCGGCGTGCTCTCCACGGGCGACGGGGTGGCGTACACGGGCTTGCTGGCGCTGCCGGACACCGGAGCTCCTCCGGGTTTCAACGGGGTCCCGTTCGGTAGTACGAGGTCCGCCCTGAACTGGTGCAGCAGCGCCGGGTGCGCCACCGGAGGAGCCGGGGAGGAGGCGGCGGAGGTGGCCGCAGGTGGCGGAGAGTTGGTGGCCGGAGAGACGGAACTCGGCGCCGGGTGGTGCCCGAGTGTGGCGGCGGGGAGCAGAGCCGGAGCAGCCGGAGTTGCCATGGTGGTCATGTCCGAGGAATCAGGAGAAAAGTAAACTTCTAAGTGAACTAATTTAAGAAAAGTAACTTCGCCCAACAAATGCGGTTTGTCTGCGAGAGGCAGCTGCGCATTGAGGAGAGGGGGACAGCAGAGAGAGGAGACAGGGTCCGTGTGTGGAAAAAACACATCACATAGTTGAATGAGAAAGAGAGGAGGCTTGTCTCCGAGCTGGAGATGCTACTGTCACATTATCATAAAGAGGTGGAGCCTGGGTGTATTCTTAGAGAGTGAGAGACACGTTCACACACAGGGAGAGAGAGCACAGATTAGCCTACATAAACTTTGGATAAGCCTATTTATGAACGCCTAACCAATGACACTTTAATATTAATGCTCCTGATGGGACTCAATCTGTCTTCCTTATGACATCTCTAAACCTTCATGGCATCGCTGTAATCTTCCCACAACATCGTTTGTGACTAATAGTTGTATAATTGTATTATCTTTGGAAAAAAACATAGCTTGATTACTGTAGTTATTTGTCTTGAGAGTAAATATTCTCCATGTTTAAATACTTGTTAATATGAATACCATCAGAGAGACTTTGTTTAAGCTGATTATAGAGTGCTGAGAAATAAAATACAAAACAGACCTGAAAGAGAGAGACATAAATTTGTATAGAGGCTTTGATAGGAAAAAGATAACAACGTTGTGAGATATAAGAAAAGACACCTGCCAAATTACTAGTACATCCACGTTAAATGCTTATTTAAAAAAGGTAAATCAGGGGCCTTTTTAGAGGACGTTTTACCTTTGTATAAATAATTTATGTTGCCCCTCATTCCAGGGGCGGATAATGAGACAATGGGCTCCTGGGCACAGATATGAAACAGCCCCACCACCTCTCCCACACAGGAGCAAGAAACAGACTTTGTGGTGGTTTGCCTCTTGTTTTGTTGTTGTTTTGTGTATATTTGTAGTCATTTGTGTCTCTGAAAGGTAATTTTGTGTCTCTTCGAAGTCATTTGGAGTCTCTTGGCTGATTCATGTCAATTCGAGTAACATTTTGCAGGTAAAGACCAGGGGGGTGACACTTTAGGCACAACAGCCACTTGCTTATGGTTAGAAAAGATTGTGTTTGGGTTCAAAATACTTCTTAAAAGGATGTTTTACCTTTGTTTAAATACTTTATGTTGCACGTGAGTCCAGGGGCGGATAATGAGACAATGGGCTCCTGGGCACAGATATGAAACAGCCCCACCACCTCTCCCACACAGCAGCAAGAAACAGACTTTGTGGTGCTTTGTCTCTTGTTTTGTTGTTGTTGTTGTTTTGTGTATCTTTAGCCCTGTTTCCACCAAGCAGTACAGTACAGTTCAGTTCAGTTCGTTTTTTTCCATTTCCATTTTGAGGCTCATGTAACCACCGTTCATACCGTGGAGAGTTTTATTAGTAGACTGTAACTATAAAATGAAAGAATGTTTTGCTGCCTCTCACAGCAGCTGGAGTTGCAGAAGAAAATAACTTAATTCACTGGTCCCACTGCCGGCAACTTTAAAGGTGGAACGTTAACTTGTAGTGTTACTCAAAGGACAAGTTTACGATGTGAATCCATCAGCACACCTTAAATTTCAATACGACAACTCTGACCATCACTTGACAACCCCACCCACATTTAAGAGTACTGTTTGTGGTGAAAACTCTAGGGTCTAGGTACCATGTGTCTAAAGGGTTACCTTTGGTTCCATACTGAAAGTGTTTTGTGGAAACTGAGCTTTTGTCGTTGTGTGTGTGTCTCTTTAAGGTAATTTTGTGTCTCTTAGAAGTTGTTTTGTGTCTCTCTTTGGTTGTTTGCCACTTTTTGTAGTTACTTTGAGTCTCTTCCTGGCTGATTCATGTTAATTTGATTAACATTTTGCAGGTAAAGGCCAGGAGGGCTGACACTTTAGGCACAAAAACCACTTGCCTATGATTAGAAAAAATCTTGGTCTTAAAATACCTGGTTTTGGTGTATAAAAAGCTGCTGGAAATGCAGAGATGTCTTGGTAAAAAAACAGCTGCCTTTCATGGCACTGCCTCCGATGGAAACAGCCCCACCACCTCTCCTACACAGGAGCAAGAAACAGACTTTGTAGTGGTTTGCCTCTTGGGTTGTTGTTTGTGTATCTTTGTAGTCATTAATGTCTCTTTGAAGTCATTTTATGTCTCTCTTTGGTTGTATGTCACTTTTTTTGCATCTTTTTGTAGCAACCTAGCTTCTCTGTATCTCTCCCAACTTTACATCCACACCCCCACGCGCTCTCAGGTCTTCCTCATCCATACACCTTGCTGTCCCACCAGCCCACCTGACCACCATGGGGTCTAGAGCCTTCAGCCGCTCTGCCCCCCACCTCTGGAACTCCCTCCCACTGAACAGTCATCACATCAGCTCTCTCGGCACTTTCGAATCCCGCCTCAAAACTCACCTCCTCAGTCTGACTCCTGTCTGCCAAACACATCCATTTTTTACATAGACTTGTATTCACTGTTAACTTGTTTTGTTGAAAATGTATTTGTTATGTTATTATTATATTATAATTTTTTTTATGTTATTTACTCCTTATCTTGTTTACTTGTTTTAATCTGCTGTCATTTTCTCTACCATTACCTGTAAGGTGACCTTGAGTGTCGTAAAAGGCGCCTATAAATAAAATGTATTATTATCATTAGTTATTGTGAGTCTCCTCCTGGCTGATACATGTTAATTTGAGTGACATTTTGCAGGTGAAGGCAAAGGGGGGGGGGGGGGGGGGGGGGGCTGACACTTTGGGCTCCTGGGTCTGTGCCCGGTAGGCCCATTCAGTAATCCATCCATGTCTCATTCCTGCCGGGTGCCATTATTTGTTATTATTGTAATGTTGTTTGCACTCCGCACCGTAACGATCTTAAATCAACAATAATTAGAATCAGAATTTGAATGAAAAGCATCCAAAAAAGAGTCACATCAGATAGATGAGAGATTGTACAAAAGCTCATAAGGGGGCCAATAACCTTGTCTTGACAAATTGACCCCTTTACCTGTTCCCTGTTCTGTTTCCTCATCCAGTCCCCACACACACACACACACACACACACACAGAGGCACACACATTCCCATCATTTACATATGGAGCTCGCAGTCCTTTCAAAGTGGCTTTCACGGAACATTGTGTTGATAATGATCTTGGTCGTGAGGGAGAGAGAGACACAGATCTCCAGAGACCATCTCACCATAAGACAAGGGGGAAGAGGATAAAACTCCGACTGTACTCCAACTCAAAGGACTTTAACACTCTTTTCCTCCCAACACCCCCCCACCCTCTCTCTCTCTCTCCAATAAGCCCTCTTGTGTTTTTTAATTGGCAGAAATTAATCTTTAGGATGTAGATGGTAGATTTACATTCATTAAAAGTCAAGAGAGGAAGCCAGGCTTGATGCTAATCAAATCTGCTTAATTATGCTTAACATGAGTATCTCCAGGGGAAGAGAGAGAGAGAGGGAGAGAGAGAGATAGCTAACTCGAACTTTTTACTTTTTGCCTTTGATAACTCCTGCTGAGTATGGCCTTTTCCTTGCCAAAAAGAAATGTCACGACTCTCTTTCTCCATCTGTAGAAAATACACCGATAAAGCCATCAGTGTTAAGCAGAGCTGATTCATGTGGTAAATTCCCACCTTAAAGTGTTTAATACAGTGAAACGTTCAGTTTTAACCTCCCAGGCTAGTGCACTGCAACTTTTTACACTTGTGGCGACATCTGATAATAGATTTACTTTGCACCTTCCTTAACCTACAAAAGGTGGCATAACAAGGACCTGATGAGTAATATGACAGCCGGTGGAAATGATTTGTGATTACACCCTTACATGCTAGGTTTTGCTTAATTTTTCATTTAGTTCATCCATCCACGGTCTGCTAAGCAACCACAGTGTTTTAAAAGAACCCTGTTAGCAGTAGGTTGCAGGATGCCCTGGTGGGAAATGACTTTGTCTCACAACAGGAAGGTCACAGGTTTAATTCCTACAGCAGCTATTGTGCTTAAACTCCCGTGAAATGAAACAATGAACTGATACATGCTGCAAAATCTTTCCGGTTACTGAACTATAAAAATACAGCATACCAACCTCAGTTAAAGGGGAACAGTTTACAGGTGTTGAGCAACCGAAGCGGCAGAATAAATGTTGGCATTGTACGTTTCTGCAAAACATGGATACAATACATTTGTATGTTATTATGAAGATGATAAGGTTGAAACTTTTGTGTTTCAACAGTGCTGTGGTTAACGTGTGGTTATGTTTAGGCACAAAAACCACTTGGTTATGGTTGGGAAAGATCAGGTTTGGGCTCAAAACACCCACATTTGGTGTCTAAGAAGCTGCTGGAAACGCAGTGATGTCTCTGTAAAAATCAATGGCATTTCATGGCACTATCCCAGCAGGAAACACAACGATGTCTCAGTAAAAAACAACTGCTTTCTGTGACACTATCCCCCGTGGAAACAAAGTGACAGGTTGCTAAAAAAACACCCATATTTGGTGGCTAAAAAGCCACTGGAAATGCAGCGGTAACTTGCTAAAAAACAACCAGTATTGCTGTTTGTTGGTCTCGAACAGTGGTCTGCTTAGGTGTCAAGCCATCCATTGTTCCCCTAATTTCCCGATGACAAAGTCAATTCATATACTACATCACTTTGTTGATATGATGCATAAAAACCAAAAATCTAACATATTCGTGGTTTGCAGGGACGTACAGTGTCAGCAGTTTTTTCTGGCGATTGGGCTGGTTGGTCGCACTGCATATGCAGAAAAAAGTTGAATCAAGTCTTGTGGAGCTCCAGAGGGAGCTGCGCAAAATCTGATGAGGCGACTCAAGCGATGTCACTTGAGCAAACGTCGGCTCAGACCGAAGACTAGAAGAAATGAGAAACAAAAAATTTGGGGCGTGGGGAGTTAAAAAGAAGTGGGACCTCTGTAGCTCCAGGCTGCATTAGCTGCTATTAGCTAACACAACTGAATCTGAAAATTGTTAGTATTCAAGTTGCATTGTGGGTAATGTAGGCAACAGGTTTTGACAAGGAAGAAGAATTCATAATTTAGATCCTTTTCCAAAAACTGTCCATTGTGAGTTTGACAATTTCATGAGGGGGCAAATGTGCACTCTGCTGTTTTACTGCCTTATTTA